TATTTAAAACATTTTTAATTTATTTTTTACTTTTCAAACTTTTTTGTTAAAAACTAAGACACAAACACACACGTTAGCATAGGCCTGCACTATCTTCCACCTCCACATCTTGTCCATCAGGGGCAATAACATGCCTGGAGCTGTCATCTCATGATAACAATGCCTTCTGGAACACCTCCTGAAGGACCTGCCTGAGGCTGTTTTACAGTTAACTTTTTTTTTGTACAAGTAGGAGTATACTCTAATAATGATAAAAAGTATAGTATAATAAATACATAAACCAGTAACAGACATTTATTATCATAATCAAGTATTATGTATAGTACATAAATGTATGTGCTAGACTTTTATACAACTGGCAGCGTAGTAGGTTGTTTACACCAATATCACCAAACACGTGAGTAATGTGTTGATAATATCACTAGGTGATAGGAATTTTTCAGCTCCATTATAATCTTATGGGACCAAAATCATATATGTGGTCCGTGGTTGACTGAAATGTTATATGGCTCATGACTGTATTCTTACACTGTAGTTAACCGAGTAACAATGCCCATTAGTATATTTTAAAAGGAAATTTTCAGGCCAGGTGTGGTGGCTCATGCCCATAATCCTAGCTCTCTGGGTGGCTGAGGCGGGCGGATCATTTGAGCTCAGGGGTTCGAGACCAGCCTGAGCAAGAGCGAGACCTCGTCTCTACTAAAAATAGAAATTGGCTGGATAACTAAAAATATATAGAAAAAATTAGCCAGGCATGATGGCACATGCCTGCAGTCCCAGCGACTTGGGAGGCTGAGGCAGAAGGATCGCTTGAGCCCAGGAGTTTGAGGTTGCTGTGAGCTAAGCTGACGCCACGGCACTCTAGCCTCTAGCCCGGGCAACAGAGTGAGACTCTGTCTCAAAAAAATAAAAAAATAAATAAAAGGAAATTTTCAGTGAGACTTGAAAGATGACTATCTTAACACCATTTTTCCTGGTTCCCCTTTCACCCCTCTTATTATTCTTTCTTAGTCATTTCTGTGGACTTTTTTCCTCTGCCTACTGTGTAAACCACCCATATTATCCAGAGGTTCTGTCGTCAGCTATACAGCTCACCCTGAGATATCTCATCTACTCTCCTACATTTTTATTGAATAAATGAGAGAATGATGACTCTTAAGTCTTTATCTTAAGTTCCAACATCCTCTGTGCTTTAAATATCCAATTGCTTGCTAAGATGTCTTACAGATACCTTAAATTTATAAATGAACTCAAATTTTCTTCTTTCTCTTTTCACTGGCCTCTTCTGCCTTCCACATCTGCCCTCCACCCCTACTCTCTGTTGGGGCTGATGTTGCCATTTGCCTTTCCAATCTCCCAAGCCGGAAAAGTGGGAGTTTTCCCTTTTCCTTACTTTTTCTATTTAATCTATTACCAAATCCCAGCCTATTGTATTTCTTAAATATTTACAGAATTCGTTTTCACTATTATATCCTGTTAGAGCTGTTTTAGTTTAGGCTGTATGCTAAAGTTAAGAGCATGGATGGGCTTTGCAGCAGACAGACCTGAGTCTACATCCTGACTCTCACATTCAGTGGCTTTCAAACCCTGGGCAAATTACTCAACCAATCTAAACCATCAGTTCTCAGACTCGGCTGCACAGGGGAACCACCTGGGAAGCTTTAAAAAAATACTGACACTTGGTCCAACTTCCAAGGATTCTGATTTCAGTGGAATGGAGCAAGGCCTGAGCATTTGGGAGTTTTATAAAAGCTTCCCGTTTATCTCTATTGGATTAAGTCCAAGCCTCTTTTAGTGCCTTCAGTATCAGCTATTAGCTTTTCACTTGCCTTCTCTATTTGCTTTGTCTCCTGTCACTCCCTGCCTTTCAATAACAGCACTACTTAGAGTTTACAAAACTGCCCCTTCTCTTACCACAACCCGCAAACCCCCCCCTCCCTGCCGCCCTTTACTCATGTTATCCTTCTGCCTGGAATGTCCTGTTTGCCACTCCCTCCCAGTTCCACCCCCCTACAACCTATCTGTCTCTTCTGGCTGTTTCTTACTCATCCTTCCTCCTTCAAGACTCAACTCAGATATCATCTTCTGTGGGACATCTTCCTGACCCTTCTGTGCAAACCTTGCTCTCGCTGTAACATGTTGAATTGCAGTTTGTGTCTCTCCCACTGGATTCTTTGAGGACAGGCCTGAAAAATCAAAGGTCCTCAAATTTTACTGAAATGAAACAGGTCCAACACAAAACTTGGTTTGTCTATGAAGCTATACTTCTACCTACTGATACTTAAGCCCAGATTTATTTCCTTCTCCTCTGTATTCTTAAAGCACTTGAGAATTGTATCATCCCTCTTAGAACCTATGGGTTCTAAGCAACTAAAGGACAGAAACCTTGTCTTTATTCTTTAGAGGTTCCCCAAAGCACCCAGCAAGTAGTTTACTCATAGTGTTGCTTAAAAACACTCACTGGTTGCTGGAAGCAAGTAAGGTTTGGAGGCCTCATACAAGGACAGTGG